TTTTGTGGCACTAAGTAGCCCAGATATGCCAATGCCCAGCCCATGCCATTGTCCCTCACTCCCAACCCACAGCCCCCTGGCCCTGCTGGTGCCCCTCACTTGAAACCCACATGCCCCTGGCTCTGCTAGTGCCCCTTATTCAGGACCTAGAGTCCCCCAGCTCTGCCAGTGTCCTCACTCCCCATCATCACCCCCTGGCCCTGCTGGTGCTCTGCACTCCCGACCCACATACCCCTAGGCCCTGCTGGTGCCCCTCACTCCCAGCCCACAGCCCCCTGGCCCTGCCAGTGCCCCTCACTCATCACCCACATCCCCACAGCTCTGCCAGTGCCCCTCACCCCCTACTCACAGCCCCCCACACCCTCAGCCCTGTCAGAGGGAGCCCCCAGCTGCCAGGGGTACAGGGCCAGGGACCTGGGACCACAGCTCCGTGCCCCCCCTAGTAGTGCCTGAGCACCAGCTGCTGCCTGTGGGAGGTGGCGGCAGCTGCAGCACAGCGTAGCACAGAGCCCAGCTCTCCCTCCACCACAGATGGCACAGCTGGAGCACAGCCTGTGGCAGGGGGCAGATGCGGGCTGGTGGTTGCGGGCTCAGGTTTCTCATCCTGCTGTCCACCCACTGAGGCCTCCATGGCCCAGTGGGTGGGATCCAGCGCAGCAAGGCACAGCAAGGCGGGGAGGTTTGGTGCCGCCGCCAGCACCCCTGACCACTCAGCAGCAGCAGGGGGCACAACTCTGTACCACCACTCCCACTGCTGCTGGGTGAGCAGGGGGCACCTCACCATGGAGATGCAGGGCTCTCGATGGCAGCATCAAGCTTCCCTGCCCCACTCTGCCCTGATGCACCGGGTCCCACCCACTGGGCCATGGAAGCCCTTGGGAAGAGGCCAGCAGGGCAGGAAGCCCCAACCCCACAGCCACCAGCCCCCATATCTCACTCCGGGTGTGAGCACAGTGACAGGGGGCCAGCCCGTGCCGCTCCCTGGATAAGCTGCCTGTGGCTCCATCCTGCCCCCAGCTGGGCCCTATAGCTGCACATTCCCACCCCAGCCCCACAATCCAGGCCTCACACACCACCTCTGCTGGGCAGCACCCCCAGCTCTAGCCCTGCTCAACTCCCTCCCTTACTAGCGGGGCCTCAATCCCCACCCCCCAGACTTACCTGCAGGGGAGCTGCGTGGATGCCACATGCATGTATGCGCATGTGCACATGTAAGTGGTTCCCTCTGCCTGATCGCCTTCCTCCTGCTCCCCCCAGCCCCTTGCAGGCTGCAACTCTGCCAGCCTGCAAGGAGAAACCCACCGTTTCCCATGTTTTTCTCCTTTATAGGAAAAAAGCTGGGGTTTTTTTTTTTTAAAAGACCATGTTTTACCACATTTTTCCATGGCAAATGGAAAACCCAGATCCCTGGGCATCAATGCAGTAAGTCTAATAAATACATACACTTGTGTCAAATATGCCTCCTCATGGAAGGAGTAAAGCAACTTTGTGATATTTCTTAGCTAACACAGCTTTTAACCTGTGACTCATCTGAGGCAGAACTAGCACAATCAGAGCTAAGGTGCACACTTTCTCCTTAAGTCTCCTGTTTGACCTAAGCACCATGGCACTTGTAGGGTATAAACTCAGGCAATTTCCTGCAGCTCAAGCTATACTTAGAGACCCTAGATAAGTTAAGGACAGAACAAGATACTTTGGCCAAGTCTTTCAATACCAGACCTAACAGAAAATATGTTGTAGGTTTAGAGCAGGTTCTTCCACACGCATCCACATTCTCTGGCTTAAATAGTCTCTTCTTTCCATCCCTTCTCTTCACCCTTCATATTCTTTCTTTGGACAAAGTTGAGGTTTGGTCAAAACATAGTCTTGTGTTTCAGAATGCAGCCTCTATCCCAACAGTCAAGGATAATACAACTCCCAAAGTTCAAATCCAATGGCACATGGCTTTGTTGCTGCGAATGGGTCTAAACCAGGGGTGGGCAAAAGACAACCTGCGGGCCAGATCCGGCCTGCCAGGCAATTTCATCTGGCCCATGGGCGGGTGCCTACCAATTCACTGTATTTGGCCAGGCCCTGGGCTGGCCCTGCTGTGCTTGCATGGGGCCAAGCCCTGCTCACTCTCACAGGCATAGGCGACTTGGTAGGGGGTGCACAGGGGTGCATATGCCCCCCTGACGGGGCCGATGCCCGCCCCGATAGCCGACACGGATGCTATCGGTAGAGTTGGTGCCTCCCCAACAGGGTTGGCGGCTTCTGTGGGTGGCCCCCTAGATTCAGGAGGCACCAGTCACTCATGCTCACAGGGACAGCACATGCTGTGCTCCTCCCTTCACCCAGGGAATGGTCCTGACCCCGGCCCCCAGAAGCAGCAGAGGTAGGTGGGGGAAGGGCAGCTGCAGCAGTGGGCAGGGGGAAGTGGCAGCAGTGGGCGAGTGGGAGGGGCAGGTGGAAGTGATGGCAGCAGCAGCAATAGGTAGGCAGGGGAACCAGTGGCGGTGGGCAAGGGTGAAGCGACACTGGCAGTGGGCAGGGGGTAGGGGAAGCAGCAACGAGCAGGCAGGCAGGAGGGAAGCAGAAGTGAGTGAGAGCAAAGCGGCAGTGGGGTGAGAGCACAGAGCCCACACTGATGTCTTGGGGCCAGGGCTGGCAGGGGTCCACAGCAGGGTGGCAGGAGTGCAGAGCCCAGGCTGGTGGGGGAGCAGGGTCCATCTGGCTCCATCATGTGGGACTCCCCAAGGCTCAAATGCAGTTCCCAGTTCTCCACCTGAGCCACACATCTCTGGGTCCCGTGTGGTGGAGCTGGCAGCCCAGTCCCGCTCAATGCCACGTGCAGGCCATGGGGAATGGTGGGGACCTCCAAGCCAGCTCCGCCCCTCTCCCTGCCACCCTGGCCAAGCCCCATGACCCGCACTACCGGCTGCATCACACAGGGGTACCCCCAGCAGCACGGGGCTCAGGCAGAGAACCTGGAAATTGCATGTGAGCCCCACACAATGGAGCCTGCAGCCCATTCACACATAATCCTTGGGCTTGCCAGACTGCGTGCTCCCAGGGGGCTCTACCTGTGGTGGGCTGTGAGCACCCTGAGGGCCCAGTGTCTGCTGCTGGCAGCAGGGGCTGTGCTCAATGTGGGGAGTGTGTGTGAGGGGGGCCCCACATGCACATCCCATTATACACATGCACCCACATCCCCCCCACACACCTCACAAGCCCCCACATACCAACATCCCTCTAAAAACCCATGCCCACCCATACACACAGACCCACACATCCCCACAAACACTCCACCATAAACCCCACCCACTGCCTCCCCACAAGACTCCCTCACCCACCCTTCCACCTTCCACAAACCCTACACG